CGCCCCCCAAGGTCGGCGGACTTCTCCAACAGCATGTTGAAAGCAACAATGCTGCGTTTTTTCTGCCTGTTTTGTAGATATTGGTCTGTGCAGGGATGCGGACGTCTGCCGCACAGCGGCCGTGAGTTTTGCGGCCATTGCTCCCTGTCCGCAACGATTTGCAACGTTTGTCAGATGGCAGAGAAGTGGTTGGTCAGACATCTTGAGACATGTGGTGCTGAAGCTGACCTTGTACATGTTTGGAAGATTGATGATTCTGCGGGCTCAGGGTGTAGAGGCGTGTAAAGCTAGTTATCCATAGTAAAAAGTTACAAGTCGCCGTGTGTGTGGTCGTGTAGCGCATGCCTGGCAGCTGGTTTGCTTGTTCTGAGCACAGGTCAACAAGTGCCAGCACCATGGCTCCAAATATGGAAGCACGTGTGGTTTGCTCTGTGTTCAGGCAAGACGCACGTGGTGAGGGGTTAGATATCGCTGCATATCAGGCGGGGCATGCCCTTAGTCACTGGACTCAGGCTTTGTATCAGTTACGTTTCGAGTCTTGCCTACTTCAGAGCAGACATTGATTGATGGTGATGATGACAATCATGTTGTTGATGATGATATATGACAGTTCATTATATGATGATAAAGGTGATGATGGTGATCATTGAAGGATAACAGGCCGTGGATGATGGTGATGATGATGATGANNATGATGATGATGATGATGAGCATCATGATGATGATTGCACTGTCGCAAACTGAGGATGATGATGCTGACTACGAGGTGGTGGTGGTGGTGGTGGTGGTGGTGGTGGTGGTGACGGCCCTGTTGATGCTGCTCGTCTTGCCACTGCTGCCCAGAGGCGGTGGTTGCGAAGACGCGAAATGGTGTTGTTTGTGTTCACGTGGTCAGTAGTGAAGGAGCTTTTTTGCTGGAGTCCCGCGGTTTGCAAGGGGATTGCAGGATTACGGAGGGGCTTACTAGCATTAAGTTAGCGTTCATTTCATACAGGGGTTGGATTTTACATTTTGCAGGCTGTGCTTGGAGTGAAACGTTTGGTTTTGAATGGTGTGATGATACTCGAGGCAACCAGGTCATCCTTGGGGTTGCCCAAGTCAAAAGCTGTCGCTTTCATTCAAGTTAGGTATTGCTCAGGAACAGCCCGCTGGAGATGTCGCAGTTGCGCAACGCTGGGGCAGCGCCGGTATTGCTCGAGATCTTGTCATACCATTCCAACGACTTGCAGCCGCTGAACAGCATCAGCCTAGGGTCACTTTTGTGAGTGGGAGGGGACTTTGGTTTTTACCTGCACGAAGGGATCTTCATTGCTTTGAGCCTCCCTTTCTTGCCGACCGAGGCTGGACAAGGTGGCAAGACAGACCCTGCCGTTTCTGAAGGGTTGAGACTGGTGTGAGGGCGTCAAAAAGATTCCATTTGCCTGGTGTGCCATGCAATATGCTGGAAGTCAATCTGAGCTCTAAACAGTTCTAGTAAACGCCACGCAAGGTTCGTCGGCGGGCCTGTTCGATGGAGAGTCCCTCATCGTTCCTGTGACAGCGCGGGGCTTCGTTTGGGCGTGCAGCTTCCAGGGCCACACTCTTCCTCCAGCCAACCCGTCGGGTGACTTCCTTGGGATTTCGTGCGGTATAGAGCTTTTACTGTAGTACTACTCTGCATTGTTCACAGTTTTACAGTTACTGTGCCAGCCTGAGGTGCCTAAGGTGTTCGTTCCTCAGTGTGGCCACGCTCTGCACACGCTATGCTTCGGCCGGGAACCTAATGCGAAACCAAAGGCTGAGTCGAGCCCCCAACAAGTTTTTAATCACTCGGAAGCTTATCATTTCTGGATTGTTTCAAGCTGCAACATCTTCATGACAGGCTCGTTTCTGCTGCCTGATGATGACAGGGGGGCTCGTGGAGACTGCCGTGGCCTCAAAGTGGTGTGCAGTCTGAAGCTACTGCATGTAGTTCAATGTTTGCCTGCCAGACAGATTGGTTCCGAACTAGACGAATAGGAGACAAGGCGCCATAGAACTACGGAGACTTACAACTGAGATTTGTCAAGGCAGGAGATGCGGCATGCCCTACGCTTGGACTGGAATTGACGCGTGCGCCCAAGCTTTCAGCTTTGATAATGTCACTTGAGCACAAAGTGTGTTAGCACACTTGTGTGCGTTTGAACATGGAGCACTCGAGCACACACCGCAGCTTGAGTGCTCGAACCGCATTTTTGTCTGCCCCTGTTCCTTGTTAGTTCCGCCTGAGCAATGGCGGCATCTGACAACCACGCTGTGGCTGCTGCCGATCTTCGCCGCCTGGCCTCGGCCAACGCGGCGGACTTGGAGGCGGCACTCTCCTACATGGGGCGTGAGCCCTTCCGCGGGCTTCGCCGGGCGGTTGGGCGTACAACCACGCCTCTTCCCTCTGATGACGAGGGCGGCAGTGGCCCAGCTGGGGCAAGTTCGAGCATTTCTTTCCGCCTCGACCCGGCGGACAATGAGGCCAACCAGATGACCGCCCCATTTGGGGCGAACGTCAACAACATCGACACCGTGTCTCTGGCCGATGCCTCAGTGGGGGCGATGGCTTCGCCTACGGCAAGCCATGCCATCCAGGAACCGGTATGGCCGTCTACTACAGGCTGCACGACCGCGCTGGAAGCCTACTTGGCGTCCATCAGCCTGGTAGACACCGCCCAAATCGTGGGCGACTCCGCTGCAGACGCTGGCGGCACTATTTCCTCCTCGCCGCCTACGGCTGGACCGCCTACCTCGTCTGCAGCGGCGACTACACTGTGGAACACCCGCCCGATGCGGGCGTAGCACCACAGCCCGAGGGCCCTCCCACCCCGGGCGCGACCCGTGCAAGGGCTAATAAAATAGCCCAAGATGGGGCGGCAGACGACATGGTCTTGCCCACCGCCACTGGCGCGACCGCCTCGGTCAGCCAGATGGCGGAGCAGTTCGATACGCAAGCACCGGCGTATCATCGCCCTTCGAGAAAGGCGCCCCCAGCTTGCTTTGCGGAGCGCCCTCGCGTGGCTAAACCGCCCCCCCTGGCATGGCGCCCTGCGTCTTGTCCTGGCGATTCGCCTCCACCCGGGCACGCCTTTTTCGGGGCGGATCCCGCCGAAAGTCCGCCTGCCTCAGGCGAACCGCTCGGCCAGTCTGAGCCGCCTCTGGACATGAAGCCAGTGGGCTTGGCGAATCCACCGCCCCCCCCGCCCAAGCAGGGACAGGCGGACAGCTCCTCTTCAGGGGCGAAGCCGGTTTCGAAATGGCCGGACTTCCACCCATTCCGCAACGCCTTGCACAAGGCGGAAGCGGAGCAACTCGGCATGAGTTGCCAGCAGTTTTACCGCCACGCCCCAGGAGTCATCATTGAGCTCCTCAGGGTCAAGGATCGGGCGGCAAACCGCCCAAAGCGAGTGCAGGCTCAGTCAAAAGCCGCCCAGACCGCCCCGAACATCGGGTGGCAGCTCCAGGATCAGTTCGCCCAGGAGCACGCGGAGATGGCCAGCAAAGGCCGGCGCGCGAGAGGTCTCACACCTCCACCGCCTCTGCGCAAACGTAACCCTCGGGCGTATACGGGCGAGATTGCCGCCCGCCCCACCTTGCCGAAGATGGACTGGTTGACGAAGTTCAGTTTGCCAGCCAGGCGGTGGGCCGTCTTGGGAGTGAGGCGGTCCTGCTCCAGGATCTGGCCAGTTGTCTGCTCGGAGCGTGTCTAGGGACGTGGGCGTCTGGCACCGACCGTCGTCTCTTGCAGGCCAGCCCGGCCTGGGTCTTATGCGGCTCAGCATGTCAAAGCCGTCGGTCAGGTCCGCGGTCATGCCCTCCATGTCGGGGTACCCAAGCTGGTCCAGGAGGTAGAGCATGAGGGGCACCTGAGTGGGGGTGTTCTTGTCCGGGGTGTAGTAGACTGGCGATCTCAAGCAGCACTTCCTTCCAGATGCGCCAGACATCGTGTCGCCAGCGCCCTCGAAGGCGGAGCAGGTGTACTCGGGGGCGGTGCGCCACACACGCCTGGCTTGCGGGCGGCCGCTCGCAACCAGAGCCCTATTGCAGCAGGTTCCCCCAGGTTCATACCGTTCGTAGCCCCCAGGGCGGTCAGCTGCGTGATCTATGCCGACGCCTACTTCCTGGAGGGCGAGCTTCGACACAAAGCCGGATGGGTGCCGGCCAATGCCCCGATGAACCGCTCACACAGGGCGTCCAACGGGTGGGGCTACGTCGTCAGAGTGGGCGACATGACCTGGCATGATCCCGGGTCCATGCCGGACTGGTTCATTCGGAAATTCGACACCCGCAGGGCGTATATCTATATGTTCGAGGTGCTTGCCCAGATCCTGGCGGTTGTGACCCTGGCCGCCTACCTTCCTGAGCGTTCATCGACAACGCCGCAGGCCAATGGGCCCTCAACAAGGGCTACGGGCGTGACGCCTCCGTCAACGGCCTCATGTCCGCCTTTTGGGCGCTGGCGGCCCGCCAATCTTGGCGACCATTCTTCTTCCGGGTTACCTCCGAGGCGAACATCGCCGACCCTATATCCAGGGCGGATTGCACCCTGGCAGTACGCCATGGCTGGACGCAAGCGGACACGAACCTGGAAGCCGTCCTGGACATCCTAGCCTGGGCCGCGGACGACCTCGAGTACGCGGTCCAAAGGGCGGCAGCTGATTTGGCCTCTGTTTCACTGCACTTTTCCCTTTTCCGGTGCCGGCGCGATGCGTGGGAAGGGGCGCCGGACGGGGAGCATATGCGCCCCTCCGGCCCAGGGATCTGGGGCGTCTGCGGACCCCCCCCCTTTACAGGCGACTTCCCATCCGTATCAAAAAGTGCCGTTGCACATTTTTGGCTCGTGCTGTGCACGGTTTGCGGCATGTTGGAAGGGAACACCTGCGTGCTGGACCCCCAAGCAAAGCAACAAGAGGACGCTAATGGCCACAGGCCGAAATGGGGCACCGAGGGACAAGGCCTCGGCATTGCAAGGAATCAGCATAGTGGAGTAGTGTTGTGTATTGCAGTCTTACTCGTAGTAGAGGAGCCTGGGCCACGCCAATTCCCATATCACGAAACCTTGTCCGGCACAACCTCCAGGCCGGAGCCTCTTGGGGAGGCCCTGAGAGCCTGAGAGCACGGGGATTGATGGGAGGTGCCTGAAAGGCTCCTGAGAGGCGCCCGCAAAGCCCATGTAAGATCTGGCATGCCTGGCTTTGGCTTCCTTTGAGTTTGTTGTGTTTCTTGAGGTGGTGAGAAAAGTTTGGGCAGCCACCCTCTATGGGTGTTTGAATAAGATCTCCGCAGCCCCAAGCAATTACTTGTAGCATCTTGTGTTTTTGAACGAACCACATCTGGGTGGGTGTCCGAGTTCTGCACAAAGGGGGGTTGTCCTTCCCAAGCCCAAGACAGCAACATGAAGACGGCAAGCTGGGCAGCGAAAGGAATACCGCATGTTCTGCTAGCAGCTTGGGGAATCACACGAGCAGCACAAGCGATGCTCAATCGAGGTTGGCCCCATGATCAACGCTTTCTGTCGGTGCCTGTGAGCGAGTCAGCATTTGCAATCTAAACATGGAGGGGGCAGGGATGGCCCACAGGCCATGGGCCAGCTACTCACGGACCTTTGTATGTTCTTGCTACTCTGCGTCTCAAGTAAGTGTTTACAGAAATGTGAAGTGTGAAATGTGTGGAGTGAAACTGAAAAATCCAGCTTCAGTTATGCCGCGGAAGCCTCAGAGGCTTGATGTTTGGCCCCTATGTGGACGAACGCTCCCAGGCGAGGGAAAAGAGGCTTTCGGCAGCATCATGTCGTATCATGTTGAGAGCCCATGCCTTGACAGGACATGTGTCAAGCCCAGCAGCTATCTGGCAGCGCGATCACGAAAATTTCGGAGGTGGGGGGAGTCTTGCGGACTCACCTGGAATGCGGCTCTGTTGACCGATGTTTTATCAAGACATATAGAGACATTTGGAGACTGATTTTGTCTCAGGTCTGCGTCAACTTTTCTCTCGAGCTGAGAGGGTCGGAGTCTCGAAGCATCTCGGAGACCTGGCATTGGCATGAGTCCAATTTTCCCAACTTCAACTCATTCTGCGTTAGGCTCGTCAGTGCTACAAGTGCCTGGCTCATGCTCTGCAAACGGTACAACTTCGCACAACCGGAGATGGTCCGGTCCCCGAGATCTCTATGTCTTGCCTTGGAACCATCCTCCACTTCTCTGTGCTAGGTGAACATCATCGGCGAGGTGGGCTGTCCTTGTTTCATTTTCTGGACATGCAAATTAACCCCTGATCCTTGCGCAGGAAGTGCTGAGGCTCGCAGGGACCAGCTTGCAGGTGTCGCAGGTTTAGGCTCTCAGATTTGTGTGGGTCTTGGTGTTGAACTATCATAATGTATCGTTATCAGTGGCTTTGCGATGGAATTTTGGAGGCGGCTCACACTCCCGGAGGATGCTGAGGAAGGAGAGCTTGAGGCCGCCTCTGGACAAGCATGTGGCAGCCTCTCAATGAATCCCTTTTGGGGTTTTGGTGTGGTTGTCGTCCAAGATTTGTTGAGGCAAGTGCTTGCAGGAAAGTACAATCTGGTGTCCTAGGCTTAGCAGTGCAGTGGTAATGGTCTCCTACGTCACCGTTTTGCAGTTGCAATCGGTGCTGCAGCTCCAAAGCTCGCACTTGCGCCAGCTACCGACTTTGGTTCCGGCGTTGCCGCCGGGCTCCTAGCGGGGCTTATGAATGGACACAGCGCATGCTTTTCTCCCCTTCTGAAATCAAAAAGCGTGACTGCGTGCCATCGCCCATGTCATGCAGGACAGTTGGGAGCTGTTGGATATAGTTGCTGACAACATCATTTGATCGGTTGACGTGGCATAGCCTTTTGATTCAAATCAATGTTGCCATTACGTTTTGCACATTTCCTCCTACAACTTTTGTGTTGCGCAGTCTTGTGTTCATCCATTGCCAACACATATCCCCCGGCTCCCGAGTAAATGTTGGTTTCCACAGGATCCTTGCAAAAACACAGTCTTTTGAATCTGATGTGCGAGTTCCGCTTCTGTCCAGAATTCAACCCTCGTATGCAGATGCGATTTTGCATGGCATGTGGTACAAGAGGATAGCACTGGGCTGCTTTCCGTACATGGGAATTTAAACCTTGCTCGGCTCCGTCAGCACTTGTTTCTCAGATCACTCAAACTCTTTGCTGACAATTTTCTTGAACTGGGTCCCTCCTTTTGGGCTGAGGAGTGAAGTGGCAGTCGGCCCCCTGGAGCCGCAGCTTGGCCGCTTTTGGAGAAACTATGACAGCGATTGCAGCCCCAGATACACGCATCATCCTGGACGTAGAGTGCAACTTGTCTCTTGCTCCGTGCTGTTCCGCTGTCCTCTCTTTTTCCGAGTCTTAGGCCGGAGTTTGCACTTCCAATGCCGGCTTCACCCACGGACGAGGAGCCTGGACGTAGAGCAGGGCAGAGTCTCTCAAGGGAAAGCCCAGTGCGTTCGGGGTACATTTTATGCCCTTGGAGACTGCCAATCTTTGCATAGTTGTCAGTGCCAGTGTGCCTCCGCTTCGGCAGCTTGCTGCGGGCATGAAGCATGCATGCTGCATGCGGGGAGTTATGATTTCAAGCCGGCGGTAATGATCGCTGCCTTGAGTGGTGTTAGCGCTCAAGACAGCTCAGGGGATCCCAGCTGAGCCGAACTTTTAGGAAACAATTTGCTAACATCTTTTGCGTTTGGTGCTCAGCCCTTGGTAACGTTGCAAGTGCTGTTGCTATGCACCAACTTGTGGTGGATATCTTGCACCAGATTCGCGGTCACAGAAAGGCGTCAAGCATCGCAAGTATGGACAAACGGCATTGTGACTGGCAAAACTCGAAAACTTATGTGAGCAATCAAATTCACTAAGCCTTGAGATTCGCAATTTCAGCCTCAAGTCGCGCAATGCCCATTCAATTTGTGCAACCATGGTTTCTGGCAGCGGGCCTTTATCTTGAGCAAACAAAGCTACCCTCCAACAGCTTGAAGGGTCAGCTCATGAGGGCGATGCTCACGAAAGGAACAAGTACCGAATCAGGAACTACGGCCGAATCAGTAACTACGAATCAGGAACTAAAGTAGCCGAATCAGGAACCAAAACTGTCCGAGTCAGCAACTACGAAAGAACCGAATCGGGAACGAACAAGCGCGAATCAGTAACTATGAACCCCGAATCAGCAACTACCATCCCCGAATCAGCAACTAAATTTGAACCGAATCACCAACCAAGCTGGCCCTTTTCGTATTCAATTCATATGTTAAAGCCGCCCACCGTTTTCGCCTTGCGAGAAGATGAATGGAATGACAGAGGGCAGGCCATGTAGAGACCTATGTTAAACCCACACCCCGTTTCACCTTTCGAGAAGATGAATGGAGTGACAAAAAGGAAAGCCATGTAGAGACATGTTAAAGCCGTCCCCCTTTTCACCTTGCCAGAAGATGAATGGAGTGACAAAGGCAAAGCCATGTAGAGACATGTGTCAAAACCGGCCCCCCACCCGCCCCCCGCTTTTTCACCGTGCGAGAAGATGAATGGAGTGACGAAGGGCAAGCCATGTAGAGACATATGTTAAACCCAACCCCCCCTTTCACCTTGCGAGAAGATGAATGGAGAGACGAAGGGAAAATCATGTAGAAACATATGTTAAAACCACCCCTCTTTTCACCTTGCCAGAAGATGAATGGAGTGACAAAGGTAAGAAATGTAGAGACATGTGTTAAAACCGTTCCCCCTCTTCACCATGATGAATGGAGTGACAAAGGCAAAGCTATAGAGATATATGTTACAACCCCCCCCCCCTTCACCTTGCGAGAAGATATGTTAAAACCGCCCTCCTCCTTTTCACTTTGCGAGAAGATGAACGGAGTGACAAAGGCAAAATCATGTAGAGACATATGTTAAACCACCCCCCCTTTCACCTTGCAGGAAGATGAACGGCGTGACAAAGCCAAAGCCATTTGGTTATTCATGCTCAACCCCCCCTTTTTCACCTTGCGAGAAGATGAATGGAGTGACAAAGGCAAAGCCATGCAGAGACATATGTTAACGCCCCCCTTTTTCACCTTGCCAGGGGATGAAAGGAATGAGAAAGGCAAAGCTATACAGACATATGTTACAACCACCCCCCCTGTCACTTTTCGAGAAGAGGATGGAGCGACATAGGGCAAGCCATGTAGAGACATATGTTAAAACAACCGCATTTTTCTCTTTGCGAAAAGAGGACGGAGAGGGAAACCATGTAATATGTTAAAAAACTCCCTTTTTCACCTTGCGATAAGATGAATGGAGTGACAGAGGGCAAGCCATGTACAGACATATGTCAAACCAATGCCCTTTTGCACCTTGCGATAAAATGAATGGAGTGACAGAGGGAACACCATGTAGAAACCATCGCGCGGCTATTCCGTCTTGCGAGACGCAGGTCTTTCAAAGATTACATTTGTGTGGCTTTCCGTGCGTGTTCCAAAAGCGTAGGGTGACCAGAGCATCCATGCCCAAACCATACTTGCGTTCGTGAGCACAAGGTGTTGTGGATTTTGGCTTCACGTTGAACCCTAAACCCTAAACCGCGATGTGACGGTCGTTTTGGTTTCCGGTGCCGTTTCAGACTTAGGAAGTTACTGAATCAAGGTTGGTTGCCGAATCATGTCCTTTTGGTTACCGATTCGGTCCTTTTGGTTTCCGGTTCAGACTTTTTCCCAGTTACCGATTCCGTTTTTGAGGTTTCCGATTCAGGCCTCTTGGTTGCCGATTCAGTCCTTTAACTTCTCGATTCACATTTAGTTGCCGATTCAGACCTGGGTAGTTACTGATTCAGGGGTAGTTGCCGATTCAGGCGTTTTTGGTTACCGATCCAGACCTTTTGGTTACCGATTCAGACGTTCCAGTTACCGATTCAGGCTCTGACCCCCACGAAAGTCCCTGGACGCACGTGAAGACATTGTTTGTTGCGCCATGTCGGATTCTGGGCACAGGGGTCAGGAATTCAATATGTTGGGGGTCAAGATTGGAAGTGGAAGTGGGAGCAGCCTGTTCCTAATGCTAGCACAGGAGGTGCCACAGTGCCTTTCCCAAATCCTGAAGCATAACAGCATAGCGACGTTTGAGCCCTCGACCCCTCTGGGATGCCGCAGGGCGATGCCGCCAGTGTGGATTGTCCGACAGATGACGAGGATCTTTGAAGTTGGGGATCTTGCGTTCGGCAGCGCCGTTGATAGATTTGACTCAAATGTCTCACACTAGGGCATTTGAGCATGTCTGATCGCAACAAAGTCCAAGGGCTTGCTGAAAGGAGAGTATGAATGGTGCCAGCAGCTGTGAAGACCAGACTTGGAGCATGATTGACATTGAATGTAGAAAAAATGCTGTCCTTGCTGCACGGGACACATTGTTCTTGTGGCACTGATACCGAAGCATCGCTTGGCGTCTCCGGTTTTCAAAGGACCCTTGCAACATTCCCGACCCAAGCGCAGTCATGCTGAACCAGCTGGTGGAAGGCTGGGTTCCATGCAAGATTCTGTTTGATTCTTTCAGAACGGTGCATGATGCTTGAGCCGTGGTACCAAGTGGTGCAAGGTCAGGGCGCCGTGGGTCTACCGAAACAATATGCTTAGGTACCATTGACAGCTTTGTTTTCCACAAGCCTTATCACAAAAACCATCAGCCCTTGTCATGGATCCCACATGACCCGAGACTTGTATGCGGAGGCTGTGGCGGTGATAGAAGCCTGAACGGTCTGCTTCCGCATGCTCAGCACTGATTCCTTGGCCGCGTTTCTTGTTGCTGTCAGAACTATTGTTTTTAGCAGAATGAAAGTGCTGTCCATGTGGAGTGGCTTAAAGGCAGTCTGGCACAGCAGAGCTTTGTTTCAAGCTGCTTGAGTCCAGATTGCTGTAGCAACCTTTGAAGAATGTATTTGACTGCATCTAAACTGTTTGATTTTTACAGCGGTTTGATTCAAGGAGACCCGGATGCCTGAAACAGAGAATCGATCTGCCATGATCTCCCACTTCTGGCCGTTGGCCATGCTCGAGGGCTCGAGGGTGCCTCGCAAAGACTGGGGACCATTGCCAGGTGTGAAATGTGCACATGGCCGATAGCCTCACGTGCTGGGTTCTGGTATGTGCTCCTGCTGGCCTACATGCAGATCCACTGCCTAAACAAGTGCTTTAAGACTCTTGCAGTCACTCCTGAGGGAGTTTGTTATACCTTGTGAGAAGCCTGGCCTGCAGGACCACTGCGTGTCGGTCGAAAAATGAGAAGAGCCAATAGTAGAGATGCTGCTGCTGATGCTGATGATGATGACGCTGGCGATGGTGGTGGTGATGATGATGGTGATGATGATGATTTGATGATGACGACGATGGTGACGATGATGGCGACGATGACGATTATGATGATGATGATGATGATGAGGATGATGATGATGATGATTTTGGGATCTAGATGAGGTTGAGCCAGATAATTATGTTGACAACGAGGTGGATGCCTGTGCCACTTTCAAGAACTCAGGGGTTTCCAGTTTCCCAGCCCATCACAGAGCTGCGTCCTACGAACTGCAAGGCCCACATAAGGCTGAGACAGAAGAATGCATGAACTGGAAGAGACCAAGATGAGCGCTTTGTAGTCTTCCAGGCGCAGAGGAATGCGGCTTCGGTCGAAAGCAGCAGGCTCAGGATGCCCCCCGAAAGCTTTCGCAGTCTGAGCAGACCCTCTCTTAGCCGCTTCTAGAGCATTAGCATGAGTCATTAGCATTTGCGTTTGGAACGGAACCTCTGAGGTTCTGCGTCCAGTGCGCAGCCCGGCGTAGCGTGGCTCTCGGCAGGCTGGGTGCCGTTGGCACTCAAGAATCTGATGGGGCTCGGTCTTCGCAAGTGCAACACTTGCTTGGCTAGCCTCACAAGCTGCGCCATGGCAAAGAGGAGCTGCAAAGCCAGAGTGAAGCTTTGCCGAGGTTGAACTGAAGCTCCCCAGCAAGACTGAGCCCTTGCAGGCACTTTGAAAAGTAATGATAATGACGGGCACAGTGCAGGCAGTATCTGCGGTCTTGCTTCAGAAGAGTCACTCTGCTGACAGCTCAGCCGAGGCTGTGCAAGCCTGCTTGTAAGAGTCAAACTCGTCAAAGACGTGGGACGGCAGCAGTCTCCAGACATCTATAAGCATGAGGGCCCTGACTTGGACGACCCGATGCTGATGCGATGAGCGTTCAACACAATCGAGTCTCACGATGCACACTTGTGTTTGTAGGTGCAAATTGCAGACACCAACCGCCGCGCCATGTGGAGGACTGCCGCGTGTTGGCATCTGAAACTTTAGTATCAACAGTTTAACTTTTTCGGCCGCCCCCGTTCGACATCTTTGTGGTCCAGACATGGTTCAGGAAGCTTTCAAGCCTAGGAATCATCTAGAGAGCCATCTTGATCAGGGAAGCTAAAAACAGTCCATTAGGGTGTACGGCATACGGGGCACACCAGGTAGAGATACATGATGGCCTACTGGGTATCAATGTTTTCTGTTCTGCAATGTGGTTCTGTGACTTGACCTGAGAAGCGCATGCAAAGTTATGTCCAAGAGACTCATGCATCAGAGTCTCAGATCAAGATCAGGGTCCTCGATTTTTGCTTGTTTCTGCTGGTGCTCGCACTTTGGCAACAGGCAAACCGTTTAAGCTTTAGATTCGGAAGCCCCAGCCCTTGCCTGAACCGATATTTGCTGACACGTGCAGGTTTCTACGGTCGACTGCCACTCGGGCAATTTTCATTAGCCTGCTTTTGCGTGATCTTGGGATTGGTGCCTCTCGAACCAGGGGCACCAAATTAGTCACGGCATGCGTCATGCCAGCATGAGTCAAGTCGACGGTGGAGCTGACCGTCCGGGTAGACTGAGGCCACAATGCTCATCATGGTCGCTGGTGTCACGGTCTTCGCTGAGGGCTTGGCGGGCAATGTTCAGAAGGCCATGCCTGAAACAGCATGCCCAGATCTATCCCACTGTGAAATGGTAAGTGGATGTAAGTGGACTCCATTTCGCAGACATGCTGCGCGCATGTCGCATGAGCGCTATTCTGTCCAAGCTGCACACATGAACTGAACAGGGCTTCGGCATGGGCTCCAAAAAGATCACTCCAGTTGAGGCGCGGCATCCCATGGCATCAAAAAAGTGGAACGGATGCTTGACGCCTTGCCACATCTTGGGATTCAAGCTCTGCGTAGTTCTGGGACATTCTGGGACCTCTAGCAGCATGTCGCATTCTAGTGCGATTCAGTGCGTTGACCCCCGAGTGGGATGCCAGTACTTCTTCACCTTGTGAGCCCGTGCACATTTTCCCAGTGTTCTTACCAAATCTTACTATCTTACCACAAATCTGTCAGCCAGGAAGTGAACACGACTTTCGATGATGTGAAGGGCTGCGATGAGGTGAAGGCCAGTTGGCACCGGAAGTGCAAACGGCATGACTCCTGCAAAATTGAAGTATTCCAATGGGGATCGACAGCAGGCCGGCGACAGCTGGCAGTCGAAACTAGTTGAGATAAGCTACGGTGTTTCCCTGCAGGCCCACAGCAACACTATTGCCGGCAAAGTCTTCAATTGCATTGAGAACAGCAATCGAGGGTTACAGCTTACTGTACCTCCCCACCCACGTGGTTGTCCTTGCCTTGCAAAACCTCCAGTATCTCAGGAGGAGCTGCAGGAGATCATCCTTTACCTTCGTGACCCGGATCGCTTCACTCGGCTAGGCGCGAAGCTTCCAAAAGGCCTGCGTCTGCGGACATGCTGCTATCAGCTTTGCTATCAGCTAGCAGAGGGATTCACTTCGATTCTTGCTCAGGTGTGATGATGTCTGGGTCTCCAGGCACAGGGAAGACTCTGCTGGCTCGGGCCATTGCCGGTGAGGCTGGTGTCCCCTTCTTGCAGGCCATCAGGGAGTCAGACAGATCTGATGTGTTTCGCTCCGAAAAGCACAGCACTGGAATTTCTGTGCTCAGGCATCAGGCTCGGAATTTGAAGAAATGTTCGTCGGTGTGGGGGCTCGCCGCATTCGTGACCTCTTTCAGGAGGCCAGAATGGTAAAGTTGGCTGGCCACAAAGAAATCAAGTTGCCAAATCGACGTTTTTTTCAGGGCGACACTTTCGGGCCATCACATACTGTAGCAAGCTACTGATCAGTTGCCTATGAGGGGGGCGACCTAAAGCGAGGCTGCAAGAGTGTTTAGCTTGGGACTGGACGCTTTACATCGTAAGTTCTTGCAGGTCTGCTGCCGTTTTGCCGTGCAAGTCGTGTGACTTCTCCCAAATTTAGCATGGGCAGACCCTGACGAGGCCCGCAAGCACGCCCCCTGCATAGTTTTCATCGACGAGATTGATGCAGTTGGTTCCAAGCGATCGAATCGTGACAACACTGCAGTCAGGACAGATTTGTGATGATGGCTGAATGGGTATGGAGAGTCGCGTTTATCAGATGTGGGCAGTGAAATCACGAATTGCTTCTGCATTGTTCTCGCACTTTGAACCAGCAAAGTCAAAACACTTCTTTGCCGAGAGAAGGGCCTAAGTTGCTTCATGTGTGGAGCAGTACATGCACAAGCCGAGTTTTGCTTTGCTTGCTTGCCATGCTGGTGCTATTTACTTGTAGGGTCCAAGGATGGAGGTTGAGAAGGAAATGAGAGTGGTGCTCACAAGCCCCCTTTTCAGGTTGTTTATTGGCTTGCATTGGCTTTCGGTAGTGTGGGAGTCACAGTGCTGGTGTTTCAAATGAGACCAAGGGCTGGAGTTTTCAAGGTAGAGTGAAACATTTTTTTCGGGAATTGGACAGTTTGCAACTTGTTAACAAGATGCGGAGAAATTCGCCTCAAATTAGCGTTTTCATAGATTCTGCGGAAGAGCACATGCTTTCAAATCAGGCTTGCAATAGTTTCTTGTCCTTCCACGCTCTGGCAATGGAATAATTACGAACGCTTTTTCTTGGAAAGCATGGATGCCTGGGGAAACCGTATGCTCTTGTAACACGAACGGCGCTATCTTGGCCAGTTGGATGCTCGGGAAACCGTATTGCACTCCACGGCATTGCTCAGACACGAGCACTTTTTTCTTGGGTTCTGCCACGGCTGCGGCAATTAATTCGGCAAAACGTTTTGCTACGATCAAGTAGTGTCCTCCTGCTGCTACTACTACTGCTGCTGCTACTGCTACCATTACTTCTGCTACCACTACTACTACTACTACCACTACTACTACTACTACTACTACAGCTACTACTCCTGCTGCTGCTTCTCTTATCGCCACGACTGCTTCTGGTGCTTCTGCTGTTGTTGCTGCCCCCGCCGCCGCCGTGCAGTTGTGGCTACTACTCAGACCGTCTGATTACGTAAACGGAGACATCGAACTTAGCAGCAGGAGCCAGCGTGTGGATCCATCAAAACTCAGATAAGGATCAAACAATAAATCAAATAAGGATCAACAAAAAGGAGGAAATCCAAGGAACATCCTCAGGCAGAAAGGCAAAGGAAGGAAGGAAGGAGCAGCGAAGGACGGAGGAAAGGCAGGAAGGAAGGAAGGAAGGCCGTCATTTTCCATTAATTTGCCTTGATTTCCACATGTTTCATCGTATCCCATCATTTTCTCTGACTTCGAGCGCTTTTTCGTCACCTTCGCCAGATTCCATTTTCATCACATTTTGTCATTTCATCATTTGCATTGATTCTTCAAACGTCATCATCCTAAAATGTTTAAAACAGAGTTTTCATCACGTTCATCACTTTAATAAGTTGCATGGGTTTCATATGGTTTCATTTTCTTTCACAATTCCCGTCTGATTTCATCATGTTTCATTCTTTTGCATCATGTTGCATTATTTCCATGGGTTTGCTTGCCTTGCAGTTTTCATGATTTTCGTCAGTTTTCATACTTTTAGTCATGGTTGTTGTTCTTGAGTATTTTCATCAGACTATTTGCACGGTTTTTTCAATACATGTCAAGAACGTTCATTTCCATGGGATTTCTGAATGTTTTACCATTTTGCATCCTTTTCAAGTATCTTTCACAAATTTGAGTATTTAAACAGGAACTGTCTATAACTGTCTAATAGCTAATTCTCATGAACAACTGCCACATTCCTCCATGGCTTGGAGAAGCCCACAACCCCTTGCTCTTTGTAAACAAGAACCCCTATCATGCCCAATAGTGCATCTGCATCAACAACTGCAAAATGCCTCCAACGCTTTGTATAGATGTGTTCATGCATTAAAAGGTGGGGGTTGGGGGGGGGGCAGCGCCCCCCATCTCCGAAGCATCGAAGGAAATTTGCAGGTGTTGATGAGGATGCACTATTCAACATGATACGGGTTGGGCGGGGTTGGGGGCGTCGCAGCCCACTAATTTGCAAACCATTGAGGAATCTCGCAGTTGTCAGTAAGGATGCGCTATCGGACATGATACGATTTCATGTTTAAGGGTGCAGCACCCCCATCCGTCATCAGCAACTGCAAGAAGTCTTCCAATATCGCAAAAGAGATTTTCTTCATCAAACGAGCAAACATTGAAATTGAAAAATGAGTCATGGAAAAAACGATGATTTTTTCAAATTTTGAAAAATGATAAATTGATCTTCGAAAATGGTCTTGAACCATGGAAATTGAAATTTCAAAATTTGATCAATTTTCAACTTCTTTTAACATCCTAAAAATCAAAGGACCAGGAATTGAAATCTCGTTTATAACATTTTCATTTTTCTCACAAAATCCAGAAAATGATTTCTCAAATTTTTCATGTTTCAGAAACTCCGAAACTAGGTGCACCCTCAACCCCTCCGCCCTGTTTACTTACACATGATAGTGCATTCTCATCAACAACTGCCACATTCCTCAATGGTGTGCAAGGCCCCCAACCGTCCTGCTCTTTGCAACCATGAGCCCTTATCGTTGGTTCGCAAACAGGGGGTCCACGCAAGAGCGTCCGGAGGCGCCGCGAACAATGAGAGGGAACTCTGAGGACGCTCTGTTCAAGTGCGTCCGCGAACGCTCCACGCAGCTGCGTCAGGACACAGCTCTCCGCGAACAGGCGTAGGTCTTTCAGAAAATCAAGCTTTTGCGTGGAGAGCCCTCACAGTTCTACATTTGATCTGTTTTTGATCCTCATTTTGATTAGTTTTCTGTTTTCATCACCGATTTCAGTTCTTTTTGATCCTTATTTGATTTTGTTTTATCACCCACCCGCACAGGAGCCCACTAGCCCTTTGCACCCTCAGCAGCACACATGCCTTCCCTGCAAAGGATGACGCTGAACCAGCTCCTGGTCGAGATGGACGGTTTCGAGAATAACAACGGCGGGGCTGTCATTTTAGTGTCGCTTCTGCAGCCTTTGGGAACGGATTCCTGGGGCTCTTTTCGTTGCCAGGTGTTGTTGTGATTTGTGCCACAAACTTTCCCGAATCCCTGGACAAGGCGCTGCAAATTAAGAAATGCAGACCGTGAAGCATGAAGAAGCAGGTGGAGTGAAACCAAATTGGCATTCCACACCAGGGACACTCAAGCTTTAACCGCAAGGATGCCAAAATACTCAGCTTTGCTTCATTGGGTTTGGAGGCCCTGACACGGCCGGGCCGCTTGGACCGGCAGATCGTGGTGCCCATTCCTGACCTGAAGGGACGGATAGTCTGGGGCCCAGTCAGATGCAGGATTTTGTTTGTGAATGGAGACTGGCGCCCTCGAGCTAATGGAAATTGCGGTGAGCTGTACGCATCTCATCCGAGGAGATTTTGGAGATGTATGCAGCCAAGCTACTTCTCGATAAGCACGTCGATCTGCGGACTTTAGCGCGGCGGACTGCGGGGATGACAGGTGCCGAACGAAGTCAGGTTGAAAGCATGGCCAGAGCTTCTTTACGAAACAGTGCGCAGAGCATCGCTTTCGTGATACTGCATTTGGTCATTGTGGCTCAAAGGGTCCCAGTAGCCAGCAGCCCCACAACTGACGCGCTGCCTGGACGCGTGTGGACCCCAGGAGTTTTCAGCTTCCGCGTCAGACGCCCAAGCTCGGCACCAGAGGTCGTGTGCCATGGTGAACATTCCGAAGACAAGAAATACTTACTGCAGGAGGGCTGGGCATTGGCTTGAAGTGCTGGAGTTGATTTGATGCACGAAGCACCTGCAAGCTGCATGTGCAGATCCGATAGGGTTTCCGTTCTGATTTTGGAAAGTGCCTTTTTTTTTTTTTTTTTTTT